CTGATTATTGACTTCGTGTATAGTATCATTTGTTTGCAAGTTAAAACATTGTTTTCCCAATAACAATGTGTTAAGTAGATAATTTCTAATTATCAATCCAGCAAGTCAAACCTCTCTTCGAAGACCTTTCGGACAAAATTCTCGTTAGAACCATAATTCAATGAGAAATACTTCACACTATTAAGTACGTTTACCAAGACTTCATAGTCATATTTTCATGATCAATATCTTTTCATTCTTTTCAACTTAGGTGCCTCATCTGCGAATCAATCGCTAAATGATCAAACAACAGTTAAACAGAATTTAGGTAAGCATTGAAATTTCATGATAGTACTTTTGTAAATAAAAGGTTTCTTTTCTCTAAACTTATTCTCTAATCATATCAAATCTTACGGAGCTATTGGTCATCTTTTTCACAAAGGGGTCGGTGTTACGTTTGAACTTATTGATGCTAAATGGTTGACACAATTTGAAGACCTATTTTCAGATCTCAGGTCATCTCTGTTATCGAACAAACACTTTTAAGAAGCTTAAAAGGACGTATTGCTACATTTTTATACACATATACAATTCATGTATAGTGTTGTTCACTACATCTAAATCAGGTTTGGATAAACAAATCATTTAGAACATATGTTTAGTTATATATTCCTTTTAATTGTACAAGAATTTTTATCAATTGATATATTTTTTAAATATCTGGATAATGATTGTTTATTTATTGCCTATTAATATTTGATGGTACTTTAATCTTAAGGACAGATGATAAAAAAATATTGAAAAAAATGCCTGGATTGGTTATATATAATTTTGGTCAATTTTATTGAAAAAAAATGCAAATAATAAATTAAAAAAGAGTATAATGTATTTATAAACCTTGTAGAATGTTAAAAATTATCCTTCATCGAATCCATCCTTATTAATCTTTACATCTTTCACTTCAACTCAAATTTTAGTTAAAATTTGAATAAAATAAAATCAAAACCTATGCGAGGAATTCTGTTTATTTTACTAATTTAAACATGACTCAAATATTTTTTTTTGATTTTTGATTGTTTTTTTTTTTCATCTGTCTCTAAGGTGAGAATATCTTGATAAATATCACGTAGCATTGTAAAGGTTTGAAAAAGGGGGCGGGGTGTAATTTTTACGGGAAATGCCTACTGTTACATTACACAAAATAGTAAATCATCATAATACCAGAAAATCAAATAATTTTCAATCTTAAACTGTATTAGCATAATAAATACATTACATCTTAGTAATGCATTAGAAATAGTTGCTAGTTAAATCCCAGACAACAATTTATGAACAAATCACAGACCGCAGAAGACTGTCGACATGACGTCATTTTGAAAACATGACGTATTTTATGTGCTGTAAAAGGCAGATCAAGCAATTTTTACAGTGGAAAATGCATTTTATTATTAAACAGAATATTTTTTTTACAGATTTTAGATAGGCTATTAATACCAATGTAAAACTTTTGTTTAGTGCGACTATGTGATAATCAGCGAGATAATCTATGAAATTTATTGTACCGTGTTTATGTGTACATGTTTGGCATGTTTAATATCAAGGGGCATGTTAAATCCTCTTTTTTAATCACTGGTTGAAAAATCACTAGAATTGTATCTTTTGTGTAAAATTTCAAATGTCTTCCTTCCAAAAATGATGTTAATAAATCTATTCTTTTATCATTCTAACAACTTAATCGCCATATGTTCAAAGCACTAGCAAAATTCCAGTTAGCATTCAGTAATATTTTGGTAATGCGCATGTTCATAGGATGGCCTGGCTCCTTTGGTCAGCTTTTATATTATATCTAGTATTTCAAGTTAAGACAACACATTTCGTACAGTTAAAAAGGGTTATCCATAGTTGATTTCAATATTCCGATAAAAGTTGTATTTATATAATATTTCAATGTAGGTGTCTCCTCTACACATCATTCGCAAAATGACAAAATCACAGGTGCACAGAATTCAGGTGAGCACGGTTATTTTATAAAGCATTTAATTAGTAGACCATTATCCTTTTTTTCTTAACGTACACCATTATTTATCAAAGTCTCTGACCTATAGATTATTTTCATGAAAAGATCGGTTTATACGTTTAAAAATATTGATACTGTTTTGATAGTTACTTTTCAATCTTTCTGGGAATGACATTTATTTTTTTCATTTGAAGCCCAGCATCATATCCGATCATCTCTGTTATTATACATTCTCTTTCAAGAAAATGTTTTGGGGCTTCTTTCCTGAAGTATCCGTCGTATGCCTTTATTATACGTTATATAAAAATAACACTTGGTTGGTTAATAGAAGTAATTTTTTTGTATTTTCCAAGAGCAATTTCTTAGTAAACTCTTTCATCGATATGTTTAATTATTTGAAAGCTAAATTAAAAAAAACACATTTATTAAATGTTATGCTATTTCACTCGTAAATTATAGAAAGGAATGGTCAACGGATTATCAAATTAGCCATGTGCTTAACAGCTGATAAGGAAAAGTGATGCTAAACATAAACAGCTGTTCTGTTCTATCTAGACAAGCTCCTCCTATAGAAAATTTGGTAGTGACTACCGCTGCCTGGGGGTTTCAAAGACAAGAAATAAAATAACTTTTTTTAAATTTAAACATGAAAAAATATAATATGTTTTCAATTGAACATATCAAAATCTTCATTTTTTATTAACCTCATTATCTAAAATAAACCATTTTGTTCACAGTTCAAACTGTGTTGCGCTTTAGGACTAATTTTTATATTAAATAATTGGGTCTTAATTTATAATTTGAAATATATACTGAAAGGAAAAAGAAACGCAGGGTAAACTTTTGAGGTGAATTAAATTTGTTTTCCTTAATAAACTTTTTAGTTTTCCTATCTAACTTTTAAAATCATCTTTCAAAAAGATATAATCAAATTATCATATGATTTTGTCTGATTTTTCATGAGTTATTGAAGCTCAAATGACGATACCCCCCAAAAGTGAAAACCAAAAACTCTCATTATCTTCAATGTCTATCTCATGCATCTGTCATAGTCTTATTTCTCCTTTGCATGGTATTTCATCAGAGTGTTTATCTCCCAAACCCTGGCTATATTTAGCATGGGTAACCACGCAAAAAATAAGTCAAACGGTGCGCGCATGCGCCAGTGAGAGGAATACAACAGTAAGTTGACTGGCTCAAAAAACCAAATTGCGAAATTGTTTTCTTTCAAATTTCTTATGAAAGTAATGATTATAATCGTCTACTGTATAAATGGCTGTTTCTGTGGTAGTAAGGTGGCGATTTAAGAGATGGCAGGACGAATAACCCGCTCGCTACATGGCTCTGTTTCGCGTTATCGTCATCGTCACGGTTGATTGAAAACCACTCCAGACCCTCTCTGACAACGGGTAAAATGTTTTATGGGGGGATCATTTACAAGTGACTTCTAAGTAAACCGTTTTTGCTTTTTTTTATTAATTAGGCAATTCGAAAACAAGACCCCATTGAACTTCCGTAAACTGTGCCAAGATTGCAATTAATTCATAGTGTCTCTTAATATTGAAAAACAATGTGCATACCTCATATGCATCAAATAATGCAACAAGATTTGTTGACAAACTTGTCGTTATCAAATTGCACGTGTTTTGGGATTTTTTGAGTTGTCCCTACGTGACGTCATAAATTTTATGGTTGAGTAATTCTGAAAACTTATTTTGATGCCCAGTAACTAAATTTCCCTTCTGACCAATTTTCATAATTTTCGGTCATGTGGTCAAATTTTTATCGAAAATTATGCTACCCTGCGTTTCTTTTTCCTTTCAGTATATTTTGATTGTAATGTTGTATATCCGTAGTGCTACCTTAGCATACTCTGTGATAAAATTACGATATTTTTCAGATGTTGCATCATCATTAATCAACGTTTAAGGTTTCATCTGATATTTGAATTGATTTCTAAGAAGGAATCAAGGGACCAAACCATCCAAAGAAAAACTTAAATTATTTTCATTTATTTGTCCCTTTTTTAACAGAAAAGAATTTACCTTTTTCCGATTAAAACATTTTTAAAAATGTATACTATTTTTATTATCAAATTTAAAGAAATCGATGAATTGGTCAAATTTTCGTATAGATGTTTCTTTGAAATGCAAATTCCGTGCTGTTCAAAAACCAAAATCAGTGTATGTAAAATCCATTTTCTCGAATGTAAGGGATGTTAAGAAAGTTCGTTCCAGGATGAAATATTTTCTAAAATTTCAAGGTAGTGCTTATTTAAAGAGGTGAATTTTCAAGTCTGACAAAATCTTAAGAGTGTGCTTTAGATTTATAGCAATACATTTCTAGCAGGAAATTATAGGAATTTTCTTTCATATGAAAATATATATATAACATCTTAACAGCACCCGAATGATAGAAATGCTGATCATTTTGATGAAAATAAAGGATAATCTACTGTTGTTTCTTCATAGAGTATCTTGCATTAGACAAACTGAGGAGTGTATGTTTAAGAACGGAAGATCACTTTTTAAAAGAATAGATTTTTCATTTTGTAATTTTTCACAGATTTGATAATTTTTGAAAGGATGTTTTGACCTGTGTGCTTAATATATGTCACAAATATGCGTCATCCTTAGTTTTTCTGAACAGACATCATCGGTTTAAATACCTGCCCACTCCTTATTTATTTAACAAAAGACAGTAAAAACCTTATCAGTAGCAAGAATGGACTCTGTAAACATGAAATATCACAAATTGTAAAGATCTTCTCATCCTATTTCTTTTTGAAAATAAAAGAAAACTGTGGAACGAACTTTCTTAACAACCTTTATGTGGTATAGCTCTTCTCTTTATATTCTCACTTCATTTTATTACCATATTGAACATGATCAGTCAGGTAATAAAATAAAGTTCATGGTAGATAAGTGACTCGTAAATCGCTTCTTTTGTATTAGAGTTTAAACTTTGTTTTCTTATGATAATGTGAAATATATAATTTATATTTATGTCTACAGCAAATCATTCACCCTCTGTTCAAAGCACTGTCGGACGGAATGCTGGTAAGTACTACATGTATAATTCACTGAGAAAAACTTAGTTTAGTAAAGTTTTGCAATACTTAATTGTATTATTCAAATAAGTTTTCTTTTCACATTTCTATGTAGATATCTTATATGCAAGCCAATCGCTAAATGGTCGAAACAAAGATATACAGAACGCAGGTGAGCACCATTGTTTTATGAGGACCATTTACAAATCATAAGCTTTTAAGCTTTTTTCTTTTTATTTTACACCCTGATTCATTATACGTGTACCCCCAAATGAAAAGTGCGAGAGTATATGGTGACTGGGATGTCCATCTGGTCCGTACGTCTGCCCGCCTATATGTCACGCTTTTGGGTTACCCATCTCCTATCTACAGTTCTACCACGATTATTGAAAACTTCAAAGGGAACCGGCGGACATTATTCTCAACTAAATCACGAACGTCATCAAAAAATTATCAGATCAGAAACAAGTATCAAATCTGAACAATTCAAATGCATGTTTGGCTGTAGAATGAAATACTTGTTTAGACCGCATCGATGTGTTGTTTTTTGCAGTATAAACACTGTAAATTGCATCAAGTTGCTGATGAATGTCGGTTTTTATAGCTAAGCAGGGCTATTTCACGGACCTCCCTACACTTTAAACAACGTGATTTTAGCAGTAAAACAAGAACATGATTTTGTTATTGTATATTCATTTTAACTGATCAATACATATTACGAACAAATTTGTAATTTGAAAAGACTATTTTTAATGCAACGAACGCTCAAATCGTCTGCATTCCATATATAGGTAAGTCAAAAAAAAATTCTCTCTGGTGTTAAATAGAACAGCGTAATCGAGACATGGTGACCTAATTCGTTCCTCTCTCCGAGGTCGAGAAATGTTGTTTGAAACATAAACGCCTCGGCTAACGCCTCGGTTTTGTCTACTGAACACTTTAAACATTTATTTTTGCTGCTATTTTGAATGCAAACCCCTCCCTCTCCGCGCCAACTTGAAAAGACGCATGTCTGGGCTTGCCACTGAGAACGTTTTCTTATAGTACAAATCCGACCAGACAAAATTTCAGCTTCCCTTTCTGTGTTTGCTATGGGTCCGCTAGGGCTTTCCCAAGACGAACTCGTCACGCAGCGAAGGTGCACCAGAGTAGGACCCAAAATTAACGCCGAAGAAAACCTCTAGTCTAGAGATGCCTTAATGGCCAGAAAGCGAAACGGGCGTTATTTATTACGATTCAAAGGTGTCTTACATGTTTACTACTTAGCTAAACAGCGACTCTGACAAATTAGCATGCCGATACAAATCTGATGTTAACAAACACATTTGCATACGCAAGTGAGTTAAGGCTGCGTATGGAGTTTTCTATGCAAAATAATTAATCAAAACACATAATTGCCATACATACCACAAAGAAAATGTAAAGACTGGTTTTCTAATACATTCTTTGTAACCACGATACTCGTTTGCTAGTACACATTATGACGTCATATTATGACACAAGTTCATAAGAAACATCAACAAAATCGCATCAGCTCAAGGGCATACCTTACCTTGTTTTACAGAAACAAGGTATAAAGAGAAGCAGAACATTCAAAGGATTTAAGATATTGCTGCACAAATGTCGACACTGCAATTGTTTAGTTACAATGTACCATTCGTACAGTTCTAAGTTGAATTAGGTAAAAATGCACAGTCCAGTGGAAGTTTAGTAAAATTATTATCGATTGAAGAAGAGCATAGGATTTGTGCAGCAATCTTATTAATATCAAGAATATTCTCCTTAATGTTATACTTTATTTATTTTTAATTAAATTAAATATGCCCTTGTGCCGACGTTGTTTTGTATTCGTGTTTTATTACCTTGAATGGGAAATAACTATGACGTCATAATGTGACGTCATAATTTGCACATGTATTAATATACTGTGGGTAATAAGTGTGTATAAGAAAATTAATTTGAACTTTCTCTGTACATAAAAAGTACAATTTATTCATTTTTATTAGCTCATTTGCAAAGAAAAGCCCATATTTAGCTTTAACGCAATTGAGTACAGAGAGTGCGTTTATACTCTTGGATTTTTAACCTCTTGACCTTGAAGTTTGACCTACTTTCAACAAATTAGATATAAATCTAAATTACCCTCAACTTTTGAATTAGAAAAGACAGGGCCTTCATATTAAATTTATGTTTTACCTGTGATAAGACCATTTTAAATACACCATTATTTTGGTTCGTGACCTAGAGCATAAAGTTTGGCCTTTTTTAATATTAATTTTTCCTCATAACTTTTAATAAAGAAGAGACAGAACTTTCATATGTACCATGTACTTATATAAAGATATTTCTGAGAATGATATGATTTCATACCCCTTAATCCTGACCTTCAAAATAGCCCTAATTTATAAACATCAACTTTGATGATTACTTCTGAATGGCATACATGTATGATAGGGCGGTCATATTGGACACAAAATGTTCTTAAAATGACATCTGTTCAACATAGACAACGAAAGCGGGGGACCACAATTCTTTGAATTTGCTTGTTTTTTAACTACTTAATCTATGTATTTATATACATTTGAATATTATACATAAAATATCCAATGTTTTGCAAATAGTTACAGTGTATATATCAAAATCTCATGTACTCAATTTGCTTTCTTTATTTAACAGCTTTGCATTTTTTCTATAAACTAGTTATTATTTAAAAATCAGTTCTAAATCAATATCTTGTAATTAATTGTCATTATTTATGTTGGATATTACGCATCCTTAAGTATCGTTTTTATTTCTTTACCTGATTCATATCGTCATGTTTCTGGTCACCTTTGTCAACTATATATGCAATTTCTCTCAAACATTGTTTTGTAAATTGAGTTTTAAAAGGATACATTTGAAAATTTCTTACAGACAAACCAGTTCGGGTTCCAATACCAAAGCCAAGAACAAAAAAAGGTACTAGTTTTCATTAATAGACTATCAGTGTTAAAAACAGATAGGGAAGTATAGATTAAATTATTATCCAAAATGAAAATAAGTTTTTCATTAACAAACATCCATTGCAAAGTCATTTGATAATGTTCTTTTAACGTGGTATTTCAAGCTCTGTATAGCATACCTTGAACTTTGTTCAGGCTGACAACTGCAGTATATAATCGATGCATCTTTTTAAAATCACATTACAAATCTGGTATTTTCTTGCACTGATATGCCCTTTTTATAATGAAAAATCTACGAAACATTGTTACACTTCAATATCAATTCAAATTTTCATCTTCTTTTGGGGTTTTCTTTTAAATAAGAAATTATTCTGTTTTATATAAATTCAGTTTTCTTCAACTAAGATAAGATTGTTTCCAGCTCTTATTTTCATAGTTTTTTATTGATGTCATTTAAACCCTTGATATTTGTATAGTCTATTTTTTTCTAGGTCGTAAGAATAAAATTCAATAGACAATTGAATCTCATTTTTTCAGAGCTATGTTTTAAATACAAAATGTTTCTAATTCTTTCCATAAAAAGGAGTTAAAAATTCCTTAAAATCAATAAGTAAAAAGAATTCCTTTTACTCATCCTTCACTTATACGACTTTTGTCACCCTAACATTTTATTGATGTTCTAATTTTATAAATTTTTTTTTGTTTGATAAATCTTTTTTATAATGTAGAGGATTTTGAATGTAAATTAACTTATGAATGTTTCATTTATTAGGACAACCATGCATAAGCAAACATCCTACACCACAACAAGGCGGTGCAGCAGTAACAAGTAAGTTTTTGTCTTTAGTAATAACTACGTTTTATATATTTAAGGATTAAAGACCATGTTACATGTACTCTGTAGTACTTGAGTAGAGACAGTATAGACTAAAAGAAACTGCAAAGTGTTTTGCAAAAAAAGATATACTGTTGGAATTAAAGTTTTACCTTATAAATTGAGTAGATTTTGAATCCATTTCATATATCCGTTCTATAAAAAAGATGCACATTTCTTAAATCTAGTAGCTATAAAAAATCCTTTGTGCTCATCACCCAGTTATATGACCATTGTCATACTTTCAATTTTCAATGGAATTTTATTTATAATGGGAAAGGTACTCAATTAAAATGTTTTTTTTACAAAGAAGGGAATTTTAAATGCTAAATTAACGAATGGATGTTTTATTAATCAGTACAACCTGGCATAACCAAACATTCTACACCACAACAAGGCGGTGCAGCTTTAACAAGTAAGTATTTGCCTATATACATAACTACTCAAAAACTGCTCGTCCAAGAAATCAAATCCGCAGGTACCATTTTTTTTCTCAAACCATGAAAATTTGACCCAATGAAAACAATGTGATTTTACAGTATTTTGTATCTGTTTTATATAATGACCATCTATGTTATATTGTAACACTATGGAAGGGAAAGTTAAGTGTTTAGAAAATGCAAAACATGATATAACAAATTGTATGCTGCATATATCTTACTTATAAATTGAAACTTAAGCTGCTATCAAATCCACATCTCATATATTTTAAATTGTTATCATAACACTCAGATAAAAGACAATTATTGTGACGAAGGCAAATTTTTTCAAACGATATAAATTAACCCTTTTATCAATTCGATAATGTGTTTCAAACCAAATTTAATTTTTGTTTGTTATGAAATATCCATTTCTAGGTCCCATGATATTACCTCTTTATATCTGATTTATCACACTCTCTGTAGCATGCCCTTAACTTGCTTCAAGCTGACCATTGTGGAAATATCAATTCATCGTTTTAATCGATCCAAAATTCACGTTTTTTCTTGTACTGATATGCTTCTTTTCAATATGAAAAATCTACAAAACATTGTTAAATTTTAAAATAAATTCCATATGTACCTAAGGGTTCTTCTTTTTAAATTAGATAGTGTTATATTTGACATCAATTCAGCTCTCGTCAACTAAGATGGGATTGTATCCAGGTCTTTTTTTCAAAGTCTGTTATTTCCGTTTTAGGCGTCACTCCCACGACGACTCAGTCCTCGATAGTTCACAGCAGCACTGGACAGATGACAGGTACACATTTTATTCCTGATAATTTTTCAGAGGCAAATTAAGACTTATTTGATAATTTTGCACGTTTTACACATGATAAATAAATCTCTATTTTTTGAGATAAGTATTAAAAAATATAAATCTTCTCTATCCTTTCTATAAAAAGAGAAACACATTTCTTAAATCCAATATCTATGAAAAAACATTTATGCTCATCCCCCAGTTATATAACTATTGTCATACTTTCAATTTTCAATGGAATTTTATTTCTAATGGTTAAGGTACTCGATTAAATGTTTTTTTTTACAATGTAGAGGATTATTAATGCTTAATTAACGAATGGATGTTTTATTAATTAGGACAACCTGGCATAAGCAAATATTATACACCACAACAAGGCGGTGCAGCTTTAACAAGTTAGAAAATTGTCTTTTGATACAATTTTCTTTCATTTATTAGTTTTATCTAAAGTCTATCCGTTATACTTCAATACTTGGTTAGGGACAACATAAACTTTAAAACCCGTAAACTTTTCTAAAAATTGGAATATTGTTATAATAAAATTTATATTGGTAACTTGAGTAGATTTTGAAGCACATTTTATTTTAATTTTGCATTTATTCATAAGAAATATAATTTTAAAAAACGATTATTAGTGACGTAAGTAACATTTCTACACGATATAAATTAACCCTTTATCCAATCAAATGACGTGTTACAAAATGGCATTTTGTTAATTTTTTAATAAAAATATCCATTTCTGAGTGTTATAATACTTTCTCCTCGTTCCTGAAAAAGCAAACTCCTTGAAGCATGCCTTAAACTTTCTCTCAACTGGTCACTGTAAAAATATCAATACGTCGTTTTTTGTTTGTTTTTTTTATCACAATACAGAAATCTTGTATTTTCTTACACTCATATGCTTCTTTTCAAGAAATTAACAAAACATTGTTACATTTTATGTCAATTTACATATACCTGAGGGTTCTTCTTTTAAATTAGATATTGTTATGTTTTGTATCAATTCAGATTTCTTTAAATTATATACACAGACAACTTATTCCACACATAATCCACGTATGAGTATCATATGATTCTCATATGATTGGTCTCATATAAGAATCATAAAAAGGGCATCATATATGAATTGTATGAAAAGAATCATATAATTCACATATAATCCACGTATGTTAATTTTATGGAAATGACTTCATATGATTTACATATGAAAAGTTTCAGTGTGTTTCAAGCCATTTATTTATGAGAATCATATAAAAAGGGTATCATATGAAAACCATACTGAACACTTAAGTGTGTTCTTTTTCAATATTTATCACAAGGAAAACACATTCTTGTACACATTTAAAAATCGGATATTTCTGCTTTAGATGAAAATTCATTACCTTAAATTGGTAAAATATTTGAAACTATCCTAAAATGCTAAGATAACTTTTTTGTTAAGATTATTTTCAAGAGAAATAACTTATTTTTCACAGTGTTCATTCTAAACAAGAATATATACAAACAAGTCAGTAGTATTTGTCGATACATGTATTTAACAAATTCTAAAATGAGTACAAATGATAAGATTTCAGCAAAATAATTAAGTAGTTAAAACTGTATACTGGACAAATGGATAACATAATTAGGTCATGTACGTGTATAAAAATACCATATGACATGAAAGTGTCCTCAGCAAATTTGAAATATCAACAAAAACATTTGTCATGTATTCACTATTGTAAATTTATAAAAAAAAAATCCAGTTATTTGATATTTTAGCATACAAATAAGAATGGGAAATCTTTACAAGTCAAATTCAGACGACATTGTGTACATCCTTCCCATTTCATAATTATTCCATATATTTCCTTGTTCTTTTTCCTTCTGTATCTTTCAATATTTTCAGTTTTTCCTCCCTCTGATCATTCACGACCATTTTGAAAATCTGTTTGAACTGTACCAAAAATGAAATCTACCAGTTCTCCCCTTCATGAACAATTTCTTTGTGGCACAGAATGATCTCTACAAAAATTTCAAAAGTAAAAATAAAATAATTCTTAAATGTCAAAAATAATTCTACAAGTTACATCAAAGCTACTTACCACAGCAAACATTTGAATTCCCAATTCACCGACACAGATATGATACGAGATAAAACTAATGTTATATATGTTATACTAGGTATTTTGTGGAATCCTACGATGTAATTTGCAAGACAATTACACTGTTGGAAGATATGCTTCATAATAAAATCATAAAAAACATTTCTTTTTGACAATTAAATTCAATTTTGCAAGACAATTACAATATTAGGAAGATATGCTTCTTATTAAAATAATAAAAAGCAATGTTTTAATTTGACAATTGAATTTGGAATGTTCAAATGGTATATATTAATTCAAAGTGCTAAAAATAAAGAAGATTTAGCTTCTTAATGTATTACTTTTGGACCAAAAAAACTACAGAGAGGTAGACAGGCAAAAAAACAGACTTTGTGATTCCAGGATATCCAAAATTTTGTTGGGAAGAATAAAACAAAGTCTTGCTTTTAAACAGTGTGTATTTACCTTCATTTTAAAGCAAGCCTTGGATCTCTGGATTTTTTCTTATGAGAGGCTGACTGTATATTGAACCTGAAAAACAAATATTCACACAGTAGATATTTTCTTAGCATAACTAAAACTTAAACTACAAAAAAGAGAGATTACAAGTTTGTAGGTTCTCATTAGTCTTAAATATCTTACAATTTACCCGAAACTAGGTTCTCTAGTGTTGCAATTTTTTTTTTATAAATGTCAGTCAATGGATTCATAGATGTAAATATTGCACTGGCTGGATTAAGTAATGCCTTTAGCCCTAAATATGTCAATTGTAGGTCTTATGTTTACATCCATTCATAATATATTTATCCAAAATAACTTACAGATCACTAAGGTTATGTAGGTTCACGAAATGCATTAATTTAACAATTACAATTGATGAGAGCATTACAAAAATAAGTTCATACAAACCTGTTACAGAAATGAAAGGATATTCAAACAATTTATGAATTAAAGCTCTTTAAAAATTGTTAGGAGATTACTTACTTTTTCCAACACTGAACACTTCTGCTGCAGCAGTGACGTCAAACATGACGTACACTTTCATCCGATAGAAGTCAAAACCTATCCGGAAAAAAATACAGAATTATTTTGATTTTACTAAAGTAATAAACCAACATCAAAAGAATTGAAATAAAAAGCAAATTATTGTATTCTTATTCAATTTTGTCTTGGAAATGCATTATTTCAGAAAAAAAATTGTGATTTTTATTTTTTATAAGGGAAAGGATTTGGGGTTAAACAGAGTAGAGCATTGCATAAGTAATTGCCAACAAATTCGTTTGAATTAATGTACATGCAAATAACTGTTGATATATATTATTGAAATTGCAATTTTACTTGAGTATACCAAGGGCAAATTAGTGAACACTGTTTCATATGAATGACTTTTCATATGTGAATCATATGTATATGTGTGATCATATGATCCACATATGATTTGCTACATACGATTCTCATATGATTGTATACATATGATTCTCATAAGATCCACATATCATCCTCATATTAAAGGCAATGCATATGTGGATCAAATGTGGTTAAATTGCCTATGTAAGATTGTCTCCAGGCCTTGGGACCATAAAACTAAGACGAGCTCACTTTTGGTCTCGGTCTCACTTTTACCAAAGAAATATATAGTGAAAAAGTGAGACTGAGATCAAAAGTGAGCTCTACTAAGTTTTATGGTCCCCAGGGCAGGTTTTGTTTTCATAGTCTGTTATTTATGTTATTTCTGTTTTAGGGGTTACTCCAACGACGACTCAGTCCTCAACAGGTCAAAGCAGCAGCGGACAGATGACAGGTACACAACTTTCTACTGATAATTTTTCTGAGACAAATTACGACTTATTTCTTAATTCAGGACGTTTTACACACAAGAAATTGATTTTCAGCAATGCTTTATTAAGCATGAATCAAAACTTTCATGTTAGATAGAAATTTCACATTTATGTATCCTTTGGGAAGAAATATAAGAATTAAACTCCTGAATGCAACATATCCCACCAAACGCATATCTTTTTTGTTGTTGTTTTTTTTTCAACCCAAGGTCTTTTTATTGTCTAGTTATTTTAAGTCCTACAGTAAGAGTGAGAATGGATATACAATTAAATATGAATTTGTCAGAGTTACATATTTGAACAATTAATGTTCCTAATTATTTCGATAAAAAGTGGTACAAATTCGCTTCAATCTAATGGCTATAAAGTATCCTGTTGACTCATCCCGAGTTATGTGCCCATTATCATAATTTCATTTTACTTTGTAGTTTTATTCTTTATTTTTTTATTTTTATTTATTTGTATTTTTCTTTTGTTTTGAAAACTTGTTTTTGAAACTGTGGATGATTTTTATTTTTTTTTTCAATATATATATTAACGAATAAATGTGTCTTTGATAAGGACAGCCTGGTATTAGCAAACAATCTTCACCACAGCATTGAGGTGCAGCAGTAACAATTAAGTACAGTAAAATCACTGTATTTGTGGAGGGTTAATTTTCGTTGATTTTGAGGTATGAGGTATAAAGAGACCCACAAAATCATGCCCACCACAAAATGTAAAACGTTACATACATAACTACTCAAGAACTCCTCATCCACAAAAACAAATCCCACGAACCAAGAGTTATAATTGCTCAAACCGCAAAAATATGCCCCCCCATGAAAATATATTATTTTACAGTGTTTTATATTTGTTTTCTATAATGACCATCTATATTATACTGTAACACTTGGGTAGGGACAGTTTAGTTTTTAGAAAATGCAAAACATTATATAACAAAAGGGTGTTCTGTTGTTATCTTACTTATAATTTGAAACTTGAGCTGCTATTGTATATATTTTATATTGCTGTCATAACACTCAGACAAAAACTAATTATTGGGTCGTAGGTAAAATGTTAAAACAATATAAATAAACCCTCCTCTTTTCAATAAGATGATATGTTGCAAAGAAAATTTAATTATTGTTTGTTATGAAATATGCATTTCTATGTCCCATGATATTTCCTGTTTATATCTGATATATTATACTCTATGAAGCATGCCTTAAACTTTCTGAAAGCTGATCATCGTGGAAATATCAATGCATCGTTTTAATCGATACAAAATTTATGTTTTTTTTCTTGCACTGATATGCTTGTTTTAAAGATGAATAATCTACAAAAAATTGTTGCATTTTAAAATAAATTCCATATCTACCTAAGGATTCTTCTTTTTAAATAAGATATTGTTCTTCATGTAAATCCACTGACAATAGTTTAACTCTGTTTGATACGAAGAAACAAAAATACGATTCTGTGAATTGAAAAATGCCATTTATTTACATTACAAATGACTATATGAAAAAACAAAGAATGTCATGCATATAAACATATAATGCAGAATCAGAAAAATTGAACAACTGAAAGATACAATCAATTTTGTTTAATAGATATCAAAGGTGTGTTACATAGATCAAATTTTTCGTGATCTCTAGTACATAGAAAGTGCTGAGCAGGTTTAATTTTCACTCGTTCAGAAAGTATTTTACGAGAAATTCAACTTACCAACATAAGAGGGGGTATTTTCCACTCTTTATTGCGACTTATACAAAATTGGATGAACTACACACAATCCCCCAGCAGAATTCAGTAAGAGGACATATTTCCCTTGTAGATTCACACAGAATATCTTCAATCTATGCTTGGTTATCACATGTGCCAGTCCAATATAAACACGATTGTTAAATTCAAACTCTGTCCACTGACTTGTAAGGGGAGCGTTTCAAGCATAATTTTTCTCTATTGTGTGAATATGTGCATATCGGACAAGCAAAAGGAATAGGAATAGGAATATTAAAATTTCACATGTTCAACTTCATAACAGCACATTGAAAAATGTACAAAAATTGTTGCATTTTAAAATCAATTCCATATCTACCTAAAAATTCTTCTTTTTAAATTAGATATTGTTCTATTTGAAATCAATTCAGCTTTCTTCAACTAAGATAGGTTTGTCTCCAGGTCATCAAAGTATGTTATTGATGTTATTTCTGTTTTAGGCGTCACTCCCACGACTCAGTCCTCGACAGTTCAAATAAGCAGCGGACAGACGACAGGTACACATTTTTTTTCAGTTTCGTATTCAAAAAATGGATGTTCCTAATCCTTTCCGTGAAAAGAGATACACATTTGTTAAATCAAGTAGCTATGAAAAAAATCCCCAAGTTATATGACAATTATCATACTTCATTTTTCAATTCTCGAATTGGACGTTAAACAACATACAATCAATCAATCAATCAATCAATCATTTTTAATTTTCTTTAATGGAATGGGTAGCTTTTGAAACATTTTTTTTATATATTTAACAATTATAAATAAGAATTAGTTTTTAAGAAACGATTATTCTGACGTAAACACCATTTCTACATTACATAAATTAACCCTTTATCCAATCAAATGAAGGGTTATAAAATTGCGTTTTGTTAATTTTTTAATAACAAAATAATATGCATGTCTAATTGTCATGATACCTCCTCGTTATATCCGATGTAGCAAACTCTACCAAGCAAGCCATAAATTCCCTTTAAGCTTGTCATAGAAAGTATCAAAACTCTCATGTTAGATATGAATTTTATATTTAAGTATCCTTTGGAAAAAATGTATGAATTTACATCCTGAATGCAACGTATACCACAAAACGCATATCTTTCTGTTGTTATTTTAACCCTAGATTTTTTATCGTCTAGTAAATTTTAGATCTTAAGAGTAAGAATGGATTTAGAACTGAATCTCATTTAAAAGAGTTACTTTTTTGAACAAAAATTAATGTTCCTTATTTTTTTGATAAAAAGTTCTACAAATTAGCGTAAATCTAATGGCTATAAAATTATCTTTTTGACTCATCCCTAGTTATATGAGCATTGTGATACTTTCAATTTTCTTTACAAGTTCATCTTTTATTTTATTTATTAATTTTTTTTGAAAACCTGTTTTTGAAACTGTATATTTTTTTTTTCATATTATATAACCAAATAAATTTTTCATTGATAAGGACAACATGGTATTGGCAAACAATCTACACCACAACAAGGCGGTACAGCAGTAACTGGTAAGTACTGTGAAATCAAAAAGTTTTCTGGAGGGATAATTTTCGTTGTTTTCGAGGTATGAGGAGACCCTCAAATTCATGTCCACTACGAATTGTAAAATCTTACATAACTATTCAGGAATCTTTCATCATCTGATACAAATCCCCACGAACTAAATGTTTTTACTCAAACCACAAACATTTGACCCTATAAAAATGTGTCCTGTTACAGTATTATATATTTGTTTTCTAGAATGACCATCTTTATTATACTGTAACACTTGGACAGTCAGTTTTATTTTAGAAAGTGCAAAACATTATATATCAATGGTGTTCTGTTGTAATCTTACTTATAATTTGAGACTTGAGTTGCTATTGTATCCATTTCTTATATCTTACATTGTTGTCATAACAGTCAGATAAAAAAAAAAGTATTGAAAAGTAGGCAAAATGTTTAAACCATATAAATTAACTCTCTTTTTTTCAATTAGATGCTGTGTTGCAAAGAAATTAAATTATTGTTATGAAATATCCATTTTTAGGTCCCTTGAATATTTCTTCTTGATATCTGATATATCAAACTCTATGTAGCATGCCTTAAACTTACTAAAAAAAACTGGTCATTGAGGAAATATCAATGCATCGTTTTAATCGATACAAAATTTATGTTTTTTCTTGCACTGATATGCTTCTTTTAAAGATGAAAAATGTACAAAAATTGTTGCATTTTAAAATCAATTCCATATCTACCTAAGGATTCTTCTTTTTAAATTAGATATTGTTCTATTTGAAATCAATTCAGCTTTCTTCAACTAAGATAGGTTTGTCTCCAGATCTTTTCTTCAAAGTCTGTTATTGATGTTATTTCTGTTTTAGGCGTCACTCCCACTACGACTCAGTCCTCGACAGTTCAAATAAGCAGCGGACAAACGACAGGTACACATTTTTTTTCAGAGTTTCGTATTCAAAAATGGATTTTCCTATTCCTTTCCGTGAAAAGAGATACACATTTGTTAAATCAAGTGGCTATGAAAAAAATTACTTTGTGCTCATTCCCAAGTTATATGACAATTATCATACTTCATTTTTCAATTCTCGAGATGGACGTTAAACAACATACAATCAATCAATCAATCATTTTTAATTTTCTTTAATGGAATTCTTTTTTTCTATTAGCTAGGTTACTGGATGAAAAGTTTTTTTTACAATGAAGTTAATTTTTAATGCCAAATTAACGAATGGATATTTTGTTAATTAGGACAATCTGGAATAAGCAAACATTCTACACCACAACAAGGCGGTGCAGCAGTTACAAGTAAGTATTTGTCTTTAGTAACATCTTCCTTTTATATGTTTGAGGAATGAAGTTTTATTTAATGTCTATCCATGTTATACTGCGATACTTGGTAAGAGACTGCAGAGGCTTTAAAAATCGTAAAATGTTTCTAAAAATGGGTATTCTTTTTAATCTAATCTATACTTTGTATCTTGGGTAGCTTTTGAAACATTTTTTTTTATATATTTAACAATTATAAATAAGAATTAGTTTTTAAAAAACGATTATTCTGACGTAATCACCATTTCTACATTACATAAATTAACCCTTTATCCAATCAAATGAAGGGTTATAAAATTGCAATTTGTTAAATTTTTAATAACAAATATGCATGTCTAAGTGTCATGATACCTCCTCGTCATATCCGATGTAGCAAACTCTACCAAGCAAGCATTAAAATTTCTTTAAGCTTGTCATTTTAAAAATATCAATGCGTCGTTCTATTATGACAAAACAGAAATCTTGTATTTTCTGGCACTGGTATGCTCCTTTGAAAGATGAAAAATTTGCAAACATTGTTACATTTTAATATCAATTCAACATCTACCGTAGGGTTCTTCTTTTAAATAAGATATCGTTATGTTTCGTATCAATTCAAACTTCTTCAACTAAGATATGATTATCTCTAGGTCTTGTTTTCATAGTCTGTTATTGATGTTATTTTTGTTTTAGGTGTCACTTCTACGACGACTCAGTCCTCGACAGTTCAAGGCAGCAGCACTGGACAGATGACAGGTACACAAGTTTTTCCTGATAATTTTTCTGAGGCAAACTAAGGCTTATTTGGTAACTTTAGACGTTTAACATGAGAAATTATTTATCAGCATTAATTTATTTAGAAAGAATCAAAACTCTCATGTTAGATATGAATTTTATAATTAAGTATCCTTTGAGAAAAAAATGTATGAATTTACATCCTGAATGCAACGTATACCAGAAAACGCATATCTTTCTGTTGTTATTTTAACCCTAGATTTTTTATCGTCTAGTTAATTTTAGATCTTAAGAGTAAGAATGGATTTAGAACTGAATCTCATTTAAAAGAGTTACTTATTTGAACAAAAATTAATGTTCCTTATTTTTTTGATAAAAAGTTCTACAAATTAGCGTAAATCTAATGGCTATAAAATTATCTTTTTGACTCATCCCTAGTTATATGAGCATTGTGATACTTTCAATTTTCTTTACAAGGTCATCTTTTATTTTATTTATTTATTTTTTTTTTTTGAAAATCTGTTTTTGAAACTGTAGATATTTTTTTTACATATTATATAACCAAATAAATTTTTCATTGATAAGGACAACATGGTATTGGCAAACAATCTACACCACAACAAGGCGGTACAGCAGTAACTGGTAAGTACTGTGAAATCAAAAAGTTTTCTGGAGGGATAATTTTCGTTGTTTTCGAGGTATGAGGAGACCCTCAAATTCATGTCCACTACGAATTGTAAGATCTTACATAACTATTCAGGAATCTTTCATCATCCAATACAAATCCCCACGAACTAAGTGTTTTTACTCAAACCACAAACATTTGACCCTATAAAAATGTGTCCTGTTACAGTATTATATATTTGTTTTCTAGAATGACCATCTTTATTATACTGTAACACTTGGACAGTCAGTTTTATTTTAGAAAGTGCAAAACATTATATATCAATGGTGTTCTGTTGTAATCTTACTTATAATTTGAGACTTGAGTTGCTATTGTATCCATTTCTTATATCTTACATTGTTGTCATAACAGTCAGATAAAAAAAAAGTATTGAAAAGTAGGCAAAATGTTTAAACCATATAAATTAACTCTCCTTTTTTCAATTAGATGCTGTGTTGCAAAGAAATTAAATTATTGTTATGAAATATCCATTTTTAGGTCCCTTGAATATTTCTTCTTGATATCTGATATATCAAACTCTATGTAGCATGCCTTAAACTTACTAAAAAAAACTGGTCATTGAGGAAATATCAATGCATCGTTTTAATCGATACAAAATTTATGTTTTTTCTTGCACTGATATGCTTCTTTTAAAGATGAAAAATGTACAAAAATTGTTGCATTTTAAAATCAATTCCATATCTACCTAAGGATTCTTCTTTTTAAATTAGATATTGTTCTATTTGAAATCAATTCAGCTTTCTTCAACTAAGATAGGTTTGTCTCCAGATCTTTTCTTCAAAGTCTGTTATTGATGTTATTTCTGTTTTAGGCGTCACTCCCACTACGACTCAGTCCTCGACAGTTCAAATAAGCAGCGGACAAACGACAGGTACACATTTTTTTTCAGAGTTTCGTATTCAAAAAATGGATTTTCCTATTCCTTTCCGTGAAAAGAGATACACATTTGTTAAATCAAGTGGCTATGAAAAAAATTACTTTGTGCTCATTCCCAAGTTATATGACAATTATCATACTTCATTTTTCAATTCTCGAGATGGACGTTAAACAACATACAATCAATCAATCAATCATTTTTAATTTTCTTTAATGGAATTCTTTTTTTCTATTAGCTAGGTTACTGGATGAAAAGTTTTTTTTTTACAATGAAGTTAATTTTTAATGCCAAATTAACGAATGGATATTTTGTTAATTAGGACAATCTGGAATAAGCAAACATTCTACACCACAACAAGGCGGTGCAGCAGTTACAAGTAAGTATTTGTCTTTAGTAACATCTTCCTTTTATATGTTTGAGGAATGAAGGTTTATTTAATGTCTATCCATGTTATACTGCGATACTTGGTAAGAGACTGCAGAGGCTTTAAAAATCGTAAAATGTTTTTAAAAATGGGTATTCTTTTTAATCTAATCTATACTTTGTATCTTGGGTAACTTTTGAAACATTTTTTTTTTTATATATTTAACAATTATAAATAAGAATTAGTTTTTAAAAAACGATTATTCTGACGTAAACACCATTTCTACATTACATAAGGTAAACCTTTATCAAATCAAATGAAGGGTTATAAAATTGCATTTTGTTAATTTTTAAATAACAAATATGCATGTCTAAGTGTCATGATACCTCCTCGTCATATCCGATGTAGCAAACTCTACCAAGCAAGCCTTAAAATTTCTTTAAGCTTGTCATTTTAAAAATATCAATGCGTCGTTCTATTATGACAAAACAGAAATCTTGTATTTTCTGGCACTGGTATGCTCCTTTGAAAGATGAAAAATTTGCAAACATTGTTACATTTTAATATCAATTCAACATCTACCGTAGGGTTCTTCTTTTAAATAAGATATCGTTATGTTTCGTATCAATTCAAACTTCTTCAACTAAGATATGATTATCTCTAGGTCTTGTTTTCATAGTCTGTTATTGATGTTATTTTTGTTTTAGGTGTCACTTCTACGACGACTCAGTCCTCGACAGTTCAAGGCAGCAGCACTGGACAGATGACAGGTACACAAGTTTTCCCTGATAATTTTTCTGAGGCAAACTAAGGCTTATTTGGTAACTTTAGACGTTTAACATGAGAAATTATTTATCAGCATTAATTTATTTAGAAAGAATCAAAACTCTCATGTTAGATATGAATTTTATATTTAAGTATCCTTTGAGAAAAAAATGTATGAATTTACATCCTGAATGCAACGTATACCAGAAAACGCATATCTTTCTGTTGTTATTTTAACCCTAGATTTTTTATCGTCTAGTTAATTTTAGATCTTAAGAGTAAGAATGGATTTAGAACTGAATCTCATTTAAAAGAGTTACTTATTTGAACAAAAATTAATGTTCCTTATTTTTTTGATAAAAAGTTCTACAAATTAGCGTAAATCTAATGGCTATAAAATTATCCTTTTGACTCATCCCTAGTTATATGAGCAATGTGATACATTCAATTTACTTTACAAGGTCATCTTTTATTTTATTTATTTTTTTTCTTTTTTTTGAAAATCTGTTTTTGAAACTGTAGATTTTTTTTACATATTATATAACCAGATAAATTTTTCATTGATAAGGACAACATGGTATTGGCAAACAATCTACACCACAACAAGGCGGTACAGCAGTAACTGGTAAGTACTGTGAAATCAAAAAGTTTTCTGGAGGGATAATTTTCGTTGTTTTCGAGGTATGAGGAGACCCTCAAATTCATGTCCACTACGAATTGTAAAATCTTACATAACTATTCAGGAATCTTTCATCATCCAATACAAATCCCCACGAACTAAGTGTTTTTACTCAAACCACAAACATTTGACCCTATAAAAATGTGTCCTGTTACAGTATTATATATTTGTTTTCTAGAATGACCATCTTTATTATACTGTAACACTTGGACAGTCAGTTTTATTTTAGAAAGTGCAAAACATTATATATCAATGGTGTTCTGTTGTAATCTTACTTATAATTTGAGACTTGAGTTGCTATTGTATCCATTTCTTATATCTTACATTGTTGTCATAACAGTCAGATAAAAAAAAAGTATTGAAAAGTAGGCAAAATGTTTAAACCATATAAATTAACTCTCCTTTTTTCAATTAGATGCTGTGTTGCAAAGAAATTAAATTATTGTTATGAAATATCCATTTTTAGGTCCCTTGAATATTTCTTCTTGATATCTGATATATCAAACTCTATGTAGCATGCCTTAAACTTACTAAAAAAAACTGGTCATTGAGGAAATATCAATGCATCGTTTTAATCGATACAAAATTTATGTTTTTTCTTGCACTGATATGCTTCTTTTAAAGATGAAAAATGTACAAAAATTGTTGCATTTTAAAATCAATTCCATATCTACCTAAGGATTCTTCTTTTTAAATTAGATATTGTTCTATTTGAAATCAATTCAGCTTTCTTCAACTAAGATAGGTTTGTCTCCAGATCTTTTCTTCAAAGTCTGTTATTGATGTTATTTCTGTTTTAGGCGTCACTCCCACTACGACTCAGTCCTCGACAGTTCAAATAAGCAGCGGACAAACGACAGGTACACATTTTTTTTCAGAGTTTCGTATTCAAAAAATGGATTTTCCTATTCCTTTCCGTGAAAAGAGATACACATTTGTTAAATCAAGTGGCTATGAAAAAAATTACTTTGTGCTCATTCCCAAGTTATATGACAATTATCATACTTCATTTTTCAATTCTCGAGATGGACGTTAAACAACATACAATCAATCAATCAATCATTTTTAATTTTCTTTAATGGAATTCTTTTTTTCTATTAGCTAGGTTACTGGATGAAAAGTTTTTTTTTTACAATGAAGTTAATTTTTAATGCCAAATTAACGAATGGATATTTTGTTAATTAGGACAATCTGGAATAAGCAAACATTCTACACCACAACAAGGCGGTGCAGCAGTTACAAGTAAGTATTTGTCTTTAGTAACATCTTCCTTTTATATGTTTGAGGAATGAAGTTTTATTTAATGTCTATCTATGTTATACTGCGATACTTGGTAAGAGACTGCAGAGACTTAAAAATCGTAAAATGTTTCTAAAAATGGGTTTACTTTTTAATGTAATCTATACTTTGTATCTTGGGTAGTTTTTGAAACATTTTGTTATATATTTAACAATTATCAATAAGAATTAAATTTAAAAAAAACGATTATTCTGACGTAAACACCATTTCTACATTACATAAGGTAAACCTTTATCAAATCAAATGAAGGGTTATAAAATTGCATTTTGTTAATTTTTAAATAACAAATATGCATGTCTAAGTGTCATGATACCTCCTCGTTATATCCGATGTAGCAAACTCTACCAAGCAAGCATTAAAATTTCTTTAAGCTTGTCATTTGAAAAATATTTTATGACAAAACAGAAATCTTGTATTTTCTGGCACTGGTATGCTCCTTTGAAAGATGAAAAATTTGCAAACATTGTTACATTTTAATATCAATTCAACATCTACCGTAGGGTTCTTCTTTTAAATAAGATATCGTTATGTTTCGTATCAATTCAAACTTCTTCAACTAAGATATGATTATCTCTAGGTCTTGTTTTCATAGTCTGTTATTGATGTTATTTTTGTTTTAGGTGTCACTTCTACGACGACTCAGTCCTCCACAGTTCAAGGCAGCAGCACTGGACAGATGACAGGTACACAAGTTTTCCCTGATAATTTTTCTGAGGCAAACTAAGGCTTATTTGGTAACTTTAGACGTTTAACATGAGAAATTATTTATCAGCATTAATTTATTTAGAAAGAATCAAAACTCTCATGTTAGATATGAATTTTATATTTAAGTATCCTTTGAGAAAAAAATGTATGAATTTACATCCTGAATGCAACGTATACCAGAAAACGCATATCTTTCTGTTGTTATTTTAACCCTAGATTTTTTATCGTCTAGTTAATTTTAGATCTTAAGAGTAAGAATGGATTTAGAACTGAATCTCATTTAAAAGAGTTACTTATTTGAACAAAAATTAATGTTCCTTATTTTTTTTTTATAAAAAGTTCTACAAATTAGCGTAAATCTAATGGCTATAAAATTATCCTTTTGACTCATCCCTAGTTATATGAGCATTGTGATACTTTCAATTTTCTTTACAAGGTCATCTTTTATTTTATTTATTTATTTTTTTTTTTGAAAATCTGTTTTTGAAACTGTAGATTTTTTTTTTACATATTATATAACCAAATAAATTTTTCATTGATAAGGACAACATGGTATTGGCAAACAATCTACACCACAACAAGGCGGTACAGCAGTAACTGGTAAGTACTGTGAAATCAAAAAGTTTTCTGGAGGGATAATTTTCGTTGTTTTCGAGGTATGAGGAGACCCTCAAATTCATGTCCACTACGAATTGTAAAATCTTACATAACTATTCAGGAATCTTTCATCATCCAATACAAATCCCCACGAACTAAGTGTTTTTACTCAAACCACAAACATTTGACCCTATAAAAATGTGTCCTGTTACAGTATTATATATTTGTTTTCTAGAATGACCATCTTTATTATACTGTAACACTTGGACAGTCAGTTTTATTTTAGAAAGTGCAAAACATTATATATCAATGGTGTTCTGTTGTAATCTTACTTATAATTTGAGACTTGAGTTGCTATTGTATCCATTTCTTATATCTTACATTGTTGTCATAACAGTCAGATAAAAAAAAGTATTGAAAAGTAGGCAAAATGTTTAAACCCTATAAATTAACTCTCCTTTATTCAATTAGATGCTGTGTTGCAAAGAAATTAAATTATTGTTATGAAATATCCATTTTTAGGTCCCTTGAATATTTCTTCTTGATATCTGATATATCAAACTCTATGTAGCATGCCTTAAACTTACTAAAAAAAACTGGTCATTGAGGAAATATCAATGCATCGTTTTAATCGATACAAAATTTATGTTTTTTCTTGCACTGATATGCTTCTTTTAAAGATGAAAAATGTACAAAAATTGTTGCATTTTAAAATCAATTCCATATCTACCTAAGGATTCTTCTTTTTAAATTAGATATTGTTCTATTTGAAATCAATTCAGCTTTCTTCAACTAAGATAGGTTTGTCTCCAGATCTTTTCTTCAAAGTCTGTTATTGATGTTATTTCTGTTTTAGGCGTCACTCCCACTACGACTCAGTCCTCGACAGTTCAAATAAGCAGCGGACAAACGACAGGTACACATTTTTTTTCAGAGTTTCGTATTCAAAAAATGGATTTTCCTATTCCTTTCCGTGAAAAGAGATACACATTTGTTAAATCAAGTGGCTATGAAAAAAATTACTTTGTGCTCATTCCCAAGTTATATGACAATTATCATACTTCATTTTTCAATTCTCGAGATGGACGTTAAACAACATACAATCAATCAATCAATCATTTTTAATTTTCTTTAATGGAATTCTTTTTTTCTATTAGCTAGGTTACTGGATGAAAAGTTTTTTTTTACAATGAAGTTAATTTTTAATGCCAAATTAACGAATGGATATTTTGTTAATTAGGACAATCTGGAATAAGCAAACATTCTACACCACAACAAGGCGGTGCAGCAGTTACAAGTAAGTATTTGTCTTTAGTAACATCTTCCTTTTATATGTTTGAGGAATGAAGGTTTATTTAATGTCTATCCATGTTATACTGCGATACTTGGTAAGAGACTGCAGAGGCTTTAAAAATCGTAAAATGTTTCTAAAAATGGGTATTCTTTTTAATCTAATCTATACTTTGTATCTAATCTAATCTATACCTTGTATCTTGGGTAGCTTTTGAAACATTTTTTTTTATATATATTTAACAATTATAAATAAGAATTAGTTTTTAAAAAACGATTATTCTGACGTAAACACCATTTCTACATTACATAAATTAACCCTTTATCCAATCAAATGAAGGGTTATAAAATTGCGTTTTGTTAATTTTTTAATAACAAATATGCATGTCTAAGTGTCATGATACCTCCTCGTCATATCCGATGTAGCAAACTCTACCAAGCAAGCCTTAAAATTTCTTTAAGCTTGTCATTTTAAAAATATCAATGCGTCGTTCTATTATGACAAAACAGAAATCTTGTATTTTCTGGCACTGGTTTGCTCCTTTGAAAGATGAAAAATTTGCAAACATTGTTACATTTTAATATCAATTCAACATCTACCGTAGGGTTCTTCTTTTAAATAAGATATCGTTATGTTTCGTATCAATTCAAACTTCTTCAACTAAGATATGATTATCTCTAGGTCTTGTTTTCATAGTCTGTTATTGATGTTATTTTTGTTTTAGGTGTCACTTCTACGACGACTCAGTCCTCGACAGTTCAAGGCAGCAGCACTGGACAGATGACAGGTACACAAGTTTTCCCTGATAATTTTTCTGAGGCAAACTAAGGCTTATTTGGTAACTTTAGACGTTTAACATGAGAAATTATTTATCAGCATTAATTTATTTAGAAAGAATCAAAACTCTCATGTTAGATATGAATTTTATATTTAAGTATCCTTTGAGAAAAAAATGTATGAATTTACATCCTGAATGCAACGTATACCAGAAAACGCATATCTTTCTGTTGTTATTTTAACCCTAGATTTTTTATCGTCTAGTTAATTTTAGATCTTAAGAGTAAGAATGGATTTAGAACTGAATCTCATTTAAAAGAGTTACTTATTTGAACAAAAATTAATGTTCCTTATTTTTTTGATAAAAAGTTCTACAAATTAGCGTAAATCTAATGGCTATAAAATTATCCTTTTGACTCATTCCTAGTTATATGAGCATTGTGATACTTTCAATTTTCTTTACAAGGTCATCTTTTATTTTATTTATTTATTTTTTTTTTTTGAAAATCTGTTTTTGAAACTGTAGATTTTTTTTTTACATATTATATAAGCAGATAAATTTTTCATTGATAAGGACAACATGGTATTGGCAAACAATCTACACCACAACAAGGCGGTACAGCAGTAACTGGTAAGTACTGTGAAATCAAAAAGTTTTCTGGAGGGATAATTTTCGTTGTTTTCGAGGTATGAGGAGACCCTCAAATTCATGTCCACTACGAATTGTAAAATCTTACATAACTATTCAGGAATCTTTCATCATCCAATACAAATCCCCACGAACTAAGTGTTTTTACTCAAACCACAAACATTTGACCCTATAAAAATGTGTCCTGTTACAGTATTATATATTTGTTTTCTAGAATGACCATCTTTATTATACTGTAACACTTGGACAGTCAGTTTTATTTTAGAAAGTGCAAAACATTATATATCAATGGTGTTCTGTTGTAATCTTACTTATAATTTGAGACTTGAGTTGCTATTGTTTCCATTTCTTATATCTTACATTGTTGTCATAACAGTCAGATAAAAAAAAAGTATTGAAAAGTAGGCAAAATGTTTAAACCATATAAATTAACTCTCCTTTTTCAATTAGATGCTGTGTTGCAAAGAAATTAAATTATTGTTATGAAATATCCATTTTTAGGTCCCTTGAATATTTCTTCTTGATATCTGATATATCAAACTCTATGTAGCATGCCTTAAACTTACTAAAAAAAACTGGTCATTGAGGAAATATCAATGCATCGTTTTAATCGATACAAAATTTATGTTTTTTCTTGCACTGATATGCTTCTTTTAAAGATGAAAAATGTACAAAAATTGTTGCATTTTAAAATCAATTCCATATCTACCTAAGGATTCTTCTTTTTAAATTAGATATTGTTCTATTTGAAATCAATTCAGCTTTCTTCAACTAAGATAGGTTTGTCTCCAGATCTTTTCTTCAAAGTCTGTTATTGATGTTATTTCTGTTTTAGGCGTCACTCCCACTACGACTCAGTCCTCGACAGTTCAAATAAGCAGCGGACAAACGACAGGTACACATTTTTTTTCAGAGTTTCGTATTCAAAAAATGGATTTTCCTATTCCTTTCCGTGAAAAGAGATACACATTTGTTAAATCAAGTGGCTATGAAAAAAATTACTTTGTGCTCATTCCCAAGTTATATGACAATTATCATACTTCATTTTTCAATTCTCGAGATGGACGTTAAACAACATACAAGTTATATGACAATTATCAATCATTTTTCAATTCTCGAGATGGACTTTACAATCAATCAATTCATTTTTAATTTTCTTTAATGGAATTCTTTTTTTTCTATTAACTAGGTTACTGGATGAAAAGTTTTTTTTTACAATAAAGTTAATTTTTAATGCCAAATTAACGAATGGATATTTTGTTAATTAGGACAATCTGGAATAAGCAAACATTCTACACCACAGCAAGGCGGTGCAGCAGTTACAAGTAAGTATTTGTCTTTAGTAACATCTTCCTTTTATATGTTTGAGGAATGAAGGTTTATTTAATGTCTATCCATGTTATACTGCGATACTTGGTAAGAGACTGCAGAGGCTTTAAAAATCGTAAAATGTTTCTAAAAATGGGTATACTTTTTAATCTAATCTATACTTTGTATCTTGGGTAGCTTTTGAAACATTTTTTTTATATATTTAACAATTATCAATAAGAATTAAATTTTAAAAAACGATTATTCTGACGTAAACACCATTTCTACATTACGTAAGGTAACCCTTTATCCAATCAAATGAAGGGTTATAAAATTGCATTTTGTTAATTTTTAAATAACAAATATGCATGTCTAAGTGTCATGATACCTCCTCGTTATATCCGATGTAGCAAACTCTACCAAGCAAGCCTTAACATTTCTTTAAGCTTGTCATTTTAAAAATATCAAAAATATTTTGACAAAACAGAAATCTTGTATTTTCTGGCACTGGTATGCTCCTTTGAAAGATGAAAAATTTGCAAACATTGTTACATTTTAATATCAATTCAACATCTACCGTAGGGTTCTTCTTTCAAATAAGATATCGTTATGTTTTGTATCAATTCAAACTTCTTCAACTAAGATATGATTATCTCTAGGTCTTATTTTCATAGTCTGTTATTGATGTTATTTTTGTTTTAGGTGTCACTTCTACGACGACTCAGTCCTCGACAGTTCAAGGCAGCAGCACTGGACAGATGACAGGTACACAAGTTTTCCCTGATAATTTTTCTGAGGCAAACTAAGGCTTATTTGGTAACTTTAGACGTTTAACATGAGAAATTATTTATCAGCATTAATTTATTTAGAAAGAATCAAAACTCTTATGTTAGATATGAATTTTATAATTAAGTATCCTTTGAGAAAAAAATGTATGAATTTACATCCTGAATGCAACGTATACCAGAAAACGCATATCTTTCTGTTGTTATTTTAACCCTAGATTTTTTATCGTCTAGTTAATTTTAGATCTTAAGAGTAAGAATGGATTTAGAACTGAATCTCATTTAAAAGAGTTACTTATTTGAACAAACATTAATGTTCCTTATTTTTTTGATAAAAAGTTCTACAAATTAGCGTAAATCTAATGGCTATAAAATTATCCTTTTGACTCATCCCTAGTTATATGAGCATTGTGATACTTTCAATTTTCTTTACAAGTTCATCTTTTATTTTATTTATTAATTTTTTTTGAAAATCTGTTTTTGAAACTGTAGATTTTTTTTTTTTCATATTATATAACCAAATAAATTTTTCATTGATAAGGACAACATGGTATTGGCAAACAATCTACACCACAACAAGGCGGTACAGCAGTAACTGGTAAGTACTGTGAAATCAAAAAGTTTTCTGGAGGGATAATTTTCGTTGTTTTCGAGGTATGAGGAGACCCTCAAATTCATGTCCACTACGAATTGTAAAATCTTACATAACTATTCAGGAATCTTTCATCATCCAATACAAATCCCCACGAACTAAGTGTTTTTACTCAAACCACAAACATTTGACCCTATAAAAATGTGTCCTGTTACAGTATTATATATTTGTTTTCTAGAATGACCATCTTTATTATACTGTAACACTTGGACAGTCAGTTTTATTTTAGAAAGTGCAAAACATTATATATCAATGGTGTTCTGTTGTAATCTTACTTATAATTTGAGACTTGAGTTGCTATTGTTTCCATTTCTTATATCTTACATTGTTGTCATAACAGTCAGATAAAAAAAAAGTATTGAAAAGTAGGCAAAATGTTTAAACCATATAAATTAACTCTCCTTTATTCAATTAGATGCTGTGTTGCAAAGAAATTAAATTATTGTTATGAAATATCCATTTTTAGGTCCCTTGAATATTTCTTCTTGATATCTGATATATCAAACTCTATGTAGCATGCCTTAAACTTACTAAAAAAACTGGTCATTGAAGAAATATCAATGCATCGTTTTAATCGATACAAAATTTATGTTTTTTCTTGCACTGATATGCTTCTTTTAAAGATGAAAAATGTACAAAAATTGTTGCATTTTAAAATCAATTCCATATCTACCTAAGGATTCTTCTTTTTAAATTAGATATTGTTCTATTTGAAATCAATTCAGCTTTCTTCAACTAAGATAGGTTTGTCTCCAGATCTTTTCTTCAAAGTCTGTTATTGATGTTATTTCTGTTTTAGGCGTCACTCCCACTACGACTCAGTCCTCGACAGTTCAAATAAGCAGCGGACAAACGACAGGTACACATTTTTTTTCAGAGTTTCGTATTCAAAAAATGGATTTTCCTATTCCTTTCCGTGAAAAGAGATACACATTTGTTAAATCAAGTGGCTATGAAAAAAATTACTTTGTGCTCATTCCCAAGTTATATGACAATTATCATACTTCATTTTTCAATTCTCGAGATGGACGTTAAACAACATACAATCAATCAATCAATCATTTTTAATTTTCTTTAATGGAATTCTTTTTTTCTATTAGCTAGGTTACTGGATGAAAAGTTTTTTTTTACAATGAAGTTAATTTTTAATGCCAAATTAACGAATGGATATTTTGTTAATTAGGACAATCTGGAATAAGCAAACATTCTACACCACAACAAGGCGGTGCAGCAGTTACAAGTAAGTATTTGTCTTTAGTAACATCTTCCTTTTATATGTTTGAGGAATGAAGGTTTATTTAATGTCTATCCATGTTATACTGCGATACTTGGTAAGAGACTGCAGAGGCTTTAAAAATCGTAAAATGTTTCTAAAAATGGGTATACTTTTTAATCTAATCTATACTTTGTATCTTGGGTAGCTTTTGAAACATTTTTTTTTAATATATTTAACAATTATAAATAAGAATTAGTTTTTAAAAAACGATTATTCTGACGTAAACACCATTTCTACATTACATAAGGTAAACCTTTATCAAATCAAATGAAGGGTTATAAAATTGCAATTTGTTAATTTTTTAATAACAAATATGCATGTCTAAGTGTCATGATACCTCCTCGTCATATCCGATGTAGCAAACTCTACCAAACAAGCCTTAAAATTTCTTTAAGCTTGTCATTTTAAAAATATCAATGCGTCGTTCTATTATGACAAAACAGAAATCTTGTATTTTCTGGCACTGGTATGCTCCTTTGAAAGATGAAAAATTTGCAAACATTGTTACATTTTAATATCAATTCAACATCTACCGTAGGGTTCTTCTTTTAAATAAGATATCGTTATGTTTCGTATCAATTCAAACTTCTTCAACTAAGATATGATTATCTCTAGGTCTTGTTTTCATAGTCTGTTATTGATGTTATTTTTGTTTTAGGTGTCACTTCTACGACGACTCAGTCCTCGACAGTTCAAGGCAGCAGCACTGGACAGATGACAGGTACACAAGTTTTCCCTGATAATTTTTCTGAGGCAAACTAAGGCTTATTTGGTAGTTTTAGACGTTTAACATGAGAAATTATTTATCAGCATTAATTTATTTAGAAAGAATCAAAACTCTCGTGTTAGATATGAATTTTATATTTAAGTATCCTTTGAGAAAAAAATGTATGAATTTACATCCTGAATGCAACGTATACCAGAAAACGCATATCTTTCTGTTGTTATTTTAACCCTAGATTTTTTATCGTCTAGTTAATTTTAGATCTTAAGAGTAAGAATGGATTTAGAACTGAATCTCATTTAAAAGAGTTACTTATTTGAACAAAAATTAATGTTCCTTATTTTTTTGATAAAAAGTTCTACAAATTAGCGTAAATCTAATGGCTATAAAATTATCCTTTTGACTCATCCCTAGTTATATGAGCAATGTGATACATTCAATTTACTTTACAAGGTCATCTTTTATTTTATTTATTATTTTTTTTTTTTAAAATCTGTTTTTGAAACTGTAGATATTTTTTTTATATATTATCTAACCAAATAAATTTTTCATTGATAAGGACAACATGGTATTGGCAAACAATCTACACCACAACAAGGCGGTACAGCAGTAACTGGTAAGTACTGTGAAATCAAAAAGTTTTCTGGAGGGATAATTTTCGTTGTTTTCGAGGTATGAGGAGACCCTCAAATTCATGTCCACTACGAATTGTAAAATCTTACATAACTATTCAGGAATCTTTCATCATCCAATACAAATCCCCACGAACTAAGTGTTTTTACTCAAACCACAAACATTTGACCCTATAAAAATGTGTCCTGTTACAGTATTATATATTTGTTTTCTATAATGACCATCTTTATTATACTGTAACACTTGGACAGTCAGTTTTATTTTAGAAAGTGCAAAACATTGTATATCAATGGTGTTCTGTTGTAATCTTACTTATAATTTGAGACTTGAGTTGCTATTGTATCCATTTCTTATATCTTACATTGTTGTCATAACAGTCAGATAAAAAAAAGTATTGAAAAGTAGGCAAAATGTTTAAACCATATAAATTAAATCTCCTTTATTCAATTAGATGCTGTGTTGCAAAGAAATTAAATTATTGTTATGAAATATCCATTTTTAGGTCCCTTGAATATTTCTTCTTGATATCTGATATATCAAACTCTATGTAGCATGCCTTAAACTTACTAAAAAAAACTGGTCATTGAGGAAATATCAATGCATCGTTTTAATCGATACAAAATTTATGTTTTTTCTTGCACTGATATGCTTCTTTTAAAGATGAAAAATGTACAAAAATTGTTGCATTTTAAAATCAATTCCATATCTACCTAAGGATTCTTCTTTTTAAATTAGATATTGTTCTATTTGAAATCAATTCAGCTTTCTTCAACTAAGATAGGTTTGTCTCCAGATCTTTTCTTCAAAGTCTGTTATTGATGTTATTTCTGTTTTAGGCGTCACTCCCACTACGACTCAGTCCTCGACAGTTCAAATAAGCAGCGGACAAACGACAGGTACACATTTTTTTTCAGAGTTTCGTATTCAAAAAATGGATTTTCCTATTCCTTTCCGTGAAAAGAGATACACATTTGTTAAATCAAGTGGCTATGAAAAAAATTACTTTGTGCTCATTCCCAAGTTATATGACAATTATCATACTTCATTTTTCAATTCTCGAGATGGACGTTAAACAACATACAATCAATCAATCAATCATTTTTAATTTTCTTTAATGGAATTCTTTTTTTCTATTAGCTAGGTTACTGGATGAAAAGTTTTTTTTTTTACAATGAAGTTAATTTTTAATGCCAAATTAACGAATGGATATTTTGTTAATTAGGACAATCTGGAATAAGCAAACATTCTACACCACAACAAGGCGGTGCAGCAGTTACAAGTAAGTATTTGTCTTTAGTAACATCTTCCTTTTATATGTTTGAGGAATGAAGGTTTATTTAATGTCTATCCATGTTATACTGCGATACTTGGTAAGAGACTGCAGAGGCTTTAAAAATCGTAAAATGTTTCTAAAAATGGGTATTCTTTTTAATCTAATCTATACTTTGTATCTAATCTAATCTATACTTTGTATCTTGGGTAGCTTTTGAAACATTTTTTTTTTATATATTTAACAATTATAAATAAGAATTAGTTTTTAAAAAACGATTATACTGACGTTAACACCATTTCTGCATGATATAAATTTAACCTTTATCCAATCAAATGAAGGGTTATAAAATTGCATTTTGTTAATTTTTAAATAACAAATATGCATGTCTAAGTGTCATGATACCTCCTCGTTATATCCGATGTAGCAAACTCTACCAAGCAAGCCTTAACATTTCTTTAAGCTTGTCATTTTAAAAATATCAATGCGTCGTTCTATTATGACAAAACAGAAATCTTGTATTTTCTGGCACTGGTATGCTCCTTTGAAAGATGAAAAAGAGGTTTGCAAACATTGTTACATTTTAATATCAATTCAACATCTACCGTAGGGTTCTTCTTTTAAATAAGATATCGTTATGTTTCGTATCAATTCAAACTTCTTCAACTAAGATATGATTATCTCTAGGTCTTGTTTTCATAGTCTGTTATTGATGTTATTTTTGTTTTAGGTGTCACTTCTACGACGACTCAGTCCTCGACAGTTCAAGGCAGCAGCACTGGACAGATGACAGGTACACAAGTTTTCCCTGATAATTTTTCTGAGGCAAACTAAGGCTTATTTGGTAACTTTAGACGTTTAACATGAGAAATTATTTATCAGCATTAATTTATTTAGAAAGAATCAAAACTCTCATGTTAGATATGAATTTTATATTTAAGTATCCTTTGAGAAAAAAATGTATGAATTTACATCCTGAATGCAACGTATACTAGAAAACGCATATCTTTCTGTTGTTATTTTAACCCTAGATTTTTTATCGTCTAGTTAATTTTAGATCTTAAGAGTAAGAATGGATTTAGAACTGAATCTCATTTAAAAGAGTTACTTATTTGAACAAAAATTAATGTTCCTTATTTTTTTGATAAAAAGTTCTACAAATTAGCGTAAATCTAATGGCTATAAAATTATCCTTTTGACTCATCCCTAGTTATATGAGCATTGTGATACTTTCAATTTTCTTTACAAGTTCATCTTTTATTTTATTTATGAATTTTTTTGAAAATCTGTTTTTGAAACTGTAGATATTTTTTTTTTACATATTATATAACCAAATAAATTTTTCATTGATAAGGACAACATGGTATTGGCAAACAATCTACACCACAACAAGGCGGTACAGCAGTAACTGGTAAGTACTGTGAAATCAAAAAGTTTTCTGGAGGGATAATTTTCGTTGTTTTCGAGGTATGAGGAGACCCTCAAATTCATGTCCACTACGAATTGTAAAATCTTACATAACTATTCAGGAATCTTTCATCATCCAATACAAATCCCCACGAACTAAGTGTTTTTACTCAAACCACAAACATTTGACCCTATAAAAATGTGTCCTGTTACAGTATTATATATTTGTTTTCTAGAATGACCATCTTTATTATACTGTAACACTTGGACAGTCAGTTTTATTTTAGAAAGTGCAAAACATTATATATCAATGGTGTTCTGTTGTAATCTTACTTATAATTTGAGACTTGAGTTGCTATTGTATCCATTTCTTATATCTTACATTGTTGTCATAACAGTCAGATAAAAAAAAGTATTGAAAAGTAGGCAAAATGTTTAAACCATATAAATTAAATCTCCTTTATTCAATTAGATGCTGTGTTGCAAAGAAATTAAATTATTGTTATGAAATATCCATTTTTAGGTCCCTTGAATATTTCTTCTTGATATCTGATATATCAAACTCTATGTAGCATGCCTTAAACTTACTAAAAAAAACTGGTCATTGAGGAAATATCAATGCATCGTTTTAATCGATACAAAATTTATGTTTTTTCTTGCACTGATATGCTTCTTTTAAAGATGAAAAATGTACAAAAATTGTTGCATTTTAAAATCAATTCCATATCTACCTAAGGATTCTTCTTTTTAAATTAGATATTGTTCTATTTGAAATCAATTCAGCTTTCTTCAACTAAGATAGGTTTGTCTCCAGATCTTTTCTTCAAAGTCTGTTATTGATGTTATTTCTGTTTTAGGCGTCACTCCCACTACGACTCAGTCCTCGACAGTTCAAATAAGCAGCGGACAAACGACAGGTACACATTTTTTTTCAGAGTTTCGTATTCAAAAAATGGATTTTCCTATTCCTTTCCGTGAAAAGAGATACACATTTGTTAAATCAAGTGGCTATGAAAAAAATTACTTTGTGCTCATTCCCAAGTTATATGACAATTATCATACTTCATTTTTCAATTCTCGAGATGGACGTTAAACAACATACAATCAATCAATCAATCATTTTTAATTTTCTTTAATGGAATTCTTTTTTTCTATTAGCTAGGTTACTGGATGAAAAGTTTTTTTTTTACAATGAAGTTAATTTTTAATGCCAAATTAACGAATGGATATTTTGTTAATTAGGACAATCTGGAATAAGCAAACATTCTACACCACAACAAGGCGGTGCAGCAGTTACAAGTAAGTATTTGTCTTTAGTAACATCTTCCTTTTATATGTTTGAGGAATGAAGGTTTATTTAATGTCTATCCATGTTATACTGCGATAC